GGAAAAGCACATTAAGAGTGGAATAGGAAATCCAAAACCAGAGAAGCAGTAAATTAAAAAGAGGGCAATTTGCATGATATGGATCGAGTTTACAAAGGTATATATATACACAGCCCAGTGAATTGAAAGTGTCACTATCCACATAAAAAATCATAAAAGAGGAATGGAAGAGGATAGGAACAAGACATTCAAAAAAGAGGGGATATACTAAATGAAACAAGCAGCAAAGCTTTTGCTAAGTAATTTGTAATGCCATGTTTCAAATGCCATTTCTCAACAGAAAATTAATTGCTTTTATTATGTCTTTAAGGGATGAACTAGCTTTTTAATTTGCTTTAAAAAGCTACAAGCTATAAGGAAATGGTGGCTGGCGCCATTCTCGTTTCTGTTCTGGTACAAACTTTTTGTGAGCGAGCGATTAAAATTTTAAATGGTTTCTGACTTGATTATTGTTCTCAACAGGAGAATAATAGATTCTCATTCTCATTAGAGACGGCACTTAACTAATTCTCAGCTTATTATTCTCATCCCAGAGGAATTTAGGAAAAATATTGTATTGGTGACTTTATGATTTACCGATATTAAGCAAATCACTCAAGAGATCGAAGCGTTTCCAGCTAAAGGGTGCTTCTGCATGAGTGGAGTAGGAAAAAAGATGCTAAAAATCTTTAAAAATACTTTAGAAAGACCCCCCCCCCCAAAAAAAACCCACTAGCATGCCAGATGGGAGCTTGATCGAACCTCTACTGCTCATCTCTTCCTGCCTTAGCCAGGAAACAGCTAGCCACGATCTGGCTTATGAGGGGAGAGACAGCCAGGACCATCTCTTCATCCAGCCTTCTCGGGAAAAGATAAACACATCGTAAATTTAAACAGCTCATCCGTCAAAATGCGGGAATTGTTGGCAAGATTAAAAACTATAATAAAACTTCTGAAAGTCATTTGGAATTAATATGGGAAGCATGCAGGGGCAATCAATACTTTTAAATACCGTGTTTCGCACAAAATAAGACCCTGTCTTATAATTTGTTTGCCACCAAAAAAGGCAGCAGGTCTTATTTTCGGGGGAAGTCATCCACTGAAAACCTCACTTGCGCGTGTCACCTCCAGCCTCCTTTTCGCTGTCAGAGGCCTTCAGGAACTTCTGTAACTGGCAAGGCTTTCCTGAAGGCCCCTGCAGATGACAAAAGAGCTCTGGATCGATCCAGAGCTTTGTTCTCAGCTCCAGAGGCCTTCAGGAAAGCCTTGACAGCTGCAGAAGAAATGGGCCGGCAAGACAGGTATCAAGGTGTGCGAGGCCTGGCTACAACTGTCCAAAGTTAAGTAGTAGGACAGCTCCACCCCCACCCCCATTCCCACCCTAGCTAATTTTTTACCTGTGCACTAGAGTGGGTAGGAACTTAATTAGGGCTTATTTTGGGGGGTAGGGCTTATATTGGGCACACGTCTAAAAATCAAGCTAGGACTTACTTTCAGGGTAGATCATATTTTCAGGGAAACAGGGTACTTTTATGTGATTCTGACTTTGTATTTGGAAAGAAAATCCTAATTATTATGGGCATGCTGGCTCTAACCTGCCATCAAACTGGAGAGTTTAGGGATAAAATCATTGGCATTTGCAGGGCAATTTTAAAAATATCTCTGCAAAATTACATGCTGGGCAGGTGGAACATGGTCTTAAGGGTTGTTTTTTTTTATGCAGATATAAAAAAGGATGATTTGAGAATGTACACGCTTTAACAAACTGGCATGCATGCTTCCAAACCCCCATTTTTTTAAATCCAGAACTGAGTTCAGAAGGATGGATTATCCAATAGGGGCATACAAAGACGATTCATGCATCTTTCCATTCTATTTTTAAGATCAAAATAGCTCTTGAAAGGCTGTAAGTCAGCCTGTTTTAAAAGTTTCCCTCCTCTGTACGTTTGTCTGCCAGCTAGGAATCTTTTTTGTGGGGGGGAGGAGAGGAAGAGCAGGAGTGGGGAGGTAGTGTGGGGAAGAAAACAGCAAGACTGGGCTGTAAGCCAAACGTTCAAGGAAAGAAGGGAGGGAGGAAAAAAGAGGTAGGGGAGGAACGAAGGAGAGATAGGTTGGAAAGAAAGAAGGCAAGGAGAAAGAGAGGGTGGGAAGGGGAAAAAAAGGGAGGGAGGGAGGAAATTGGGAAATATGTAAACAACTCTTAAGACACACTTGGTTTAAATACTTCTCCTGATTTACAATTATTGTGTCTTGTCCGACAATGGCAAAGGACAGAGGGAAAACTGTGTGCTTTTCAATAGCAATCACTGAGCAGATTGGCTATCTTACTTTCTAATAAAATCACACAGGTTACGTTTCACCAGAATTTGTTGGACACACCTTTCAGGGGCTCTTATTTGGACACTTGTCCACAAAGGCAAATGTACGAATTTGAAAATCTTAAGACCATAACAGATCTTGTTCCCTGCAAAGGCAATTGTCAAGTGCAGCTGTCGGAACCTGGGGGTTGTTGATTGGTGGCTTTAACATGAATGACATCTGAGTCTATTTCATGGTTTTCAGTTTTGTGTCTTGCTGAACTATGACGTGGCCTTCACTGGTTTATAATTTTGCATTTTTCTAGTTCTATAAACCACTTGAAGCAATTATTTTTTAAGTCAGAAAAGCAGTGTTGGGGGGGGGGGGTTTGAAAAAAATAAAAGGAAAACAGTAACAGGAACCCCGTAGTATAATTTTTTTTAGACTTGGGGGAAGACAGAGGGGTTTAGTGCTGGACTCACCCAATTTGAAAAAGCAATTTTTGCAATGAATACCATGTCACCGTTTTTTTTTTTCCCAAGAAAAGTTTAAAATCTTGTATTTTTAACACACTGTTATGAAGCATCAGATCAGACAGACAAATTTTCAATCTTTATTAATAGGGGAAAGAGGATCTGAAGGGCTTTTTAATTCTCTATTTAAATGAAATTCTATGAGGAAAAAAAAAAGAGAGAGAGAGAAAGAAAGTGAGAAGAGTAAAAAATAATCTGAGAGAACAGAAGATTAAAAAGAAAATAATAATAATAATAAGAACAGATATGGACATCCACAATGATTACTGACATACTTGGGAGGGAGGGGGGGTACATATTCATTTGGGGTCAAAAAACACTCCACTGCCATTAAGTATGAAAGAAAACTGTTTCAGAGCTTTCTAAAATTATACAGAATGTGCTTAAAAATCTAATGGAAGAAGTTGGAGGTGCAATTGGGACCGAGCTGATGGGTTCCACGGGAACTGTCAAGAAATATCGGGAGAGAGTTGGTTAAAGTAAAAAAAAAAAAAGAAGCAGAAATCACTAAATACAAATTTACACAAGACTGCTATTGCGATCCCTTCACGAGGCTATGATTGTCTGGTGGAGCCCAGGAGGAATTAATAACAGGATGGCTATCTAAATTAACCCACTCGGATGATCGGGCTGGGGGAAAGGGGTGGGGTGGGGTGGGCAACCAACAGCATCCCCTCCCTCAAAAACGGTGGCTTTGTAGAATCAGTCGCTTCGCCACAGAATTAACCCTAATATCGTGGGATGGGGGGGGGGGGCCATCATTATTTAAGACAGGGGTGGTTTTTCCTTCTCCTTCCGCCGACCTATCTATTGGGAAGACTCGGTGCTGTCTCTTTTTTGAGAATGAACAGCAAGGACTTTCAAAAAGGAAAAAAACAAAAAAGAGCAGAAGAAGCGGAAAGAGAGAGAGAGAGAGAGAGAGAGAGAGAAACAGAGGGAGGGAGGGAGGGAAGAGAGTACAGACCTCTGGATTATTTAATTCGTTCTTCCTAACCTACCTGAATCTTTGGGCCTGGTGATGGACAGGCCCCCCAAACCGTCTAGCTGGGGAGTGATAGAGCTGGGACAGGAGGGCCACGTTTTTGTTCTGGTTTGGGTTGGCTGCGAACTTCACCGTGATGGGTTCAGAGGAGCCCGGCGGCTTGTGGCCGTTGAAGTTTGAAATCGCTTCCTCGGCTTCTGATCTCTTGTCAAACCGGATGAAAGCAACCCCACGGGATAAGCCTGGAAGTCAAAGGGAGAGAGAGAAAATATATATATACATCTATACACACACACACACACACACACATCTGAAGGGTCGGTTTTCCGCCTGGATCGGAACCACTAGGTCAGTGACGGCGAACCTTTCCAGCACAGAGTGCTCAAACCAGAACGCGCGTACCGGAGCATCAGAAACCCTAAGACCAGCTGGCTAGTGCATGCATGTTTATTTTTTGCCCATTTGGGGCCATTTGGCGGGTGTTTTTCAGTTGTTTTGAGGCCGTTTTTAGGGCCTCTTCAGGCTGTTTTCCAGGGCTCTGGCACCCGCGAAGACCACCTGGGAGGCACACATGTGCACCAGAAACCAGAAGAGTAGCTGGCGACAACAGACATGCTCGCAGAGAGGGCTCTGCATGCCATCTCTGGCACGCGTGCCATAGGTTCACCATTGCAGCGTTAGGTGGTTTACCAGGAAAGTGGGAAGCAATCCAGACATCTGGAGACGTTGTGAGGCCCATGGACTTCAGAAGCTGTCTGGAATGGGATAGGGTGTCCTCCCTCAGCAGGGGGTTGGACTAGAAGACCTTCAGGGTCCCTTCCAATTCTGTTCTGTTCTACTCTACTCCTACTCTACTCTACAGTCTAGTCTCGTTTAATATTAAATAGCTTGGCTTCAGTCTCAGTAGAGTAGAAGGCCCAACCAACCATTCTGTTCCTGTTCTGTTCTCTGTTCTATTCTATTCTTGTTACTTTTCTGTTTATTCTATTCTATTCCTAATCTAATATTAAGAAGTTACGGGCAAAGTTAGCTTGGCTTCACTCTCAGTAGAGCAGAAGGCCCAACCTTGCTGAATTGTTAAGCTTTAAGATTGAAATAGCAATGGTAATTAGCACTTTCCCCACAAACAATCTGGGTCCTCGTTTTACCCACCTCGGAAGGATGGAAGGCTGAGTCGACCTCGAGCCTGGTGGGGTTTGAACTGCCCAAATTTTGCAGTCAGCCGGCAATCAGCAAAGATAGTAGCCCTGCAGGACTGCACTCTTAACCACTGCACCCCTGTGGCTCATATTTAAGAAATATTTAGAAGGCTCCCAAAATTGACAGTCGATCTGCATCAAGAAAAGAGTAGTATCTCTTTTTTTTTTTTCACCCTGAATTAAAGTAGTAATTGAAAACCCTCTTTTGGGGACACCAGGAGATGGGTTCCAATCTACCCCCACTTCCTGAGGCCAAGCCACCCTAATGGCAGGTAGCCCTTGACTTACGAGCCCAACGGAGCCCAACATTGCTGTTGCTAAGTGAAAACAATTGTTAAGGGAAGAGCCTGCAGAGCCAGGAGTTTGATCCTGATCGGCTCAAGGTGGACTCGGCCTTCCATCGTTCCGAATTCTGTAAACTGAGGACGCAGATGGTTGGTTGGCAAGATGCAAAACGACGCTAACTCTGCAACCCGCTCAGAGGGGGGGGCTGCAAAGCGCTATGGGGCAGTATACAGGTCTAGGTGCTATGGCCTTGTGGATTTTTGTCCCACTCTATGACCTTTTTTTGCCATAGTTCTTAAGTGACTCAATTGACACAGTGATTTAAGTGAGTAACAACACTTGTTAAACTAATCCGGCTTCCCCCGTGGATTTTGGCTTGCCAGGTCGCAAAAGGAGGATCGTATGACTGCCCCCCAGGGACACTGCGACCGTCGTAAATACGAATCAGTTGCCCGGTGTCTGAATTTTGATCACACGACCATGGGGATGCTGTAAGGGTTGTTGAGGGTGAAGATGGTCGTAAATCATTTTTTTTTTAAAGTGACGTTGTAACTTCAAGTGGTCGCAAAATGAACTGTTTTAAATCGAGGATGACCTACGCCCAAATGGTATTCAAAAAGGGGGAAATAATTATCGATAGGTACCACACTTTTAAGAGCCACGGTGGCACAGTGGTGAGAATGCAGGATCGCAGGCTAACTCACTGCTCACTGCCAGGAGTATCGAATATCACCAGGCTCCAGGTTGACTCAGCCTTCCGTCCTTCCGAGGTCAGTAAAATGAGGACCCAGATGGTTGAGGGCAAGAGGCTGACTCTGTAAACCGCTTAAGAGAGGGCTGTAAAACCACTGTGAAGCGGTATGGAAGTCTAAGTGCTATTGCTATTCTCTCCCTCCTTCCTTCCGTACTTCGCACCCTTTTCTTTCTTTTCTTTCCTTCCCTTCTTTTTCTCCATTTTTTCTTGCTCTCCTCCTCCCTCCATCTCTCATTTCCCGTCTCTTTTTCTCTCCCTCTTCTTTCCTCCCTTTTTCTCTTTTTTTTTTTTTCCACTCCCTTCCTTTCTTCCTCTTGCAAGAGCGGCACCGTGGTCAGAATACAGGATCGCAGGCTCACTCTGCCAAATGCCAGGAGTTCGATCCTGACCGGCTCAAGGCGGATTCAGCCTTCCAGCCTCCTTTCTGAGGTCAGTAAAATGAAGAGCCAGATTGTTGGGGGGGAGCAAGAGGCCGACTCTGTAAACCGTTGAGAGAGGGCTGTAAAAGCACTGCGAAGCGGTATGTAAGTCTAAAGTGCTATTGCTATTTAAATCAGTGTTTCCCAACTTGGCCAATTTAAGAGGGGTGGTCCTCCATCCCTCTAGCTGGGGAATTCTGGGGGTTGAAGCCTGCACCTCTTAAAATGGCCACGTTTGAGAGACACTCCCCTTGGACAATTTCTGGAGCAGATCAGCAGCCAGCCGAGTGGACGGGAGACTGCAACTGCTTGTGGCTCACACACCTGTAGTCTGATCGACCAGCACGCGCGAGTTGATGATGCGTCCGAACCGTGAAAACATGTCTTCGACGTCCTTCTGCGTCATTGTCCGTGGCAGCCCACTTATGTATAAGTTTGCATCTTTAATCACTTCAGAGCTTGGGCGAGCGTACGACACCTTGGGGGGAAAAAAGGGAACGCGTGCGTGAATTCATACGGCTGAAACACCCAAAGAAATTTCTGGGATTTGGTAAATCTACGGGGTCATGCCTGCAAAACATTATTTCAGATCAATAAATGATTCAAGAGATTGGATAACCACTTGTATGAAATGGTGTAGGGTTTCCTGCCCAAGCAGGGGGTTAGACTAGAAAACCTCCAAGTTCCCTTCCAACTCTATGCCATGCCATGCCAGTCTACTCTCTGTTCTACATTCTATTCTATTTCCATATTGTATTCTATTCTATTCTTCTATTCTATTTTTCTATTCTATTCTTATTCCTGTTCTATTCTTTCCATATTCTATTCTATTCTACCTATCTATTCTATTTCAATAGTGTATTCTATTCTTATATTCTATTTTTTATTCTATTCCCATATTTTATTCTATTCCTATTTCTACTTTATTCTTTCCATATTCTATTCTACTTTTCTATTCTATTCCCGTATTCTATTCCTATTCCTATTCTTTTCATATTCTTCTATGCTACTTTTCTATTCCCGTATTCTATTCCTATTCTTTTCATATTCTTCTATGCTACTTTTCTATTCCCATATTCTATTCTAATTTTCTATTCTTCATTCCAATATTTTTTTCCTCTTCTCTTTGTCTCAAAGGCCACTTCCAAAGGCAACTGGACTGGGGTTTTTTTTCCCCTTTGAGTAGGAGGAGGGAGGGGGTTCACTTCTCATCCAAGGTGGTTTATCAGTTCTTCACCACTGTCAGAACTAACTTCTTCCATCCCTCCCACCATCCAGTCAGAATGGATGAAGCTTCTTGGGATGGGAAGCAAAACGTCGTCTCCCTCCTCTAGGGGGGAAAAAAAATACAGCCTTTTGAAGGAAAAAAAAAAAAAGGCCATTTCAGACAACTGTGATTTGGATGAGTGAGCAGCTCCAGAGCTGCCACAAAGCAATGCAGAGAGATGGTGCTGAGGTTTGTGCTTTTACTTGCTTCTGTTCCCAAAAGGGTTTGAATCCTATTTTTTTTTTTTTTTTTTGTCCAAAGCTAGTCCATTAACAGAGCAAATAAAATTGTTTTGCCAAACCCAAGAGCAGATAATACACAAATGGAAAAAGCAGCAGTTCTCAACAGCAGGAGCCAGAAAGGTGGCACCTGCTGGAATCAAATACTATGCCGGCCTCTTCCAGCCTCAGACACCCCCCCCCCACACACACATAGGAGACACTGAACCGTTCGTAATATTTTCATCTCACGGGATGCTGCAGGAGAGGCTCTAAGTGGTGAAGCTAAAGACTAGCCCTCTGCAAGGACAACTTAACTCACAAACCTGTTAACTCCATGAAGGATCCAAACGTTACAGTCCCCAGTTGGACTTCCCAAAGCTGAAGAATGCCAGCTTTGAAGGGGACAAGGAGCTCATTCATAAGGGGTGTGGCACACGGCCAGATGATTCCAGTGGCAAAGCCAGGGCAGCTGGATTGCTCAGGGTGGAGGCCGCCTCCTTCCCGATTCTCCGAGGGAGGGTCTGTGCCATCCCCTGGGGAGCCACGAGACAGAGGAAGAAGAGAGCCAAACCCAACTCCCAGTTCTTACACTGACTTACCCCGGGGGGAGAACCTTGCGTACGTATTATGCTTAGGGATAAAATATTCTTTTCCTCACCCTTTGCCCTGAAAGCTCTCAAGCTGCTCAGAGGGAGGGAGGGAGGGAGGGAGGAAGGGAGTGAGGGAGGGAGAAAGGAAGGAAGGAAGGAAGGAAGGGAGGGAGGGAGGGAGGGAGGGAGGAAGGAAGGGAGGGAGGGAGGGAGAAAGGAAGGAAAGAAGGGAGGGAGGGAGGAAGGAAAGAAGGAAGGAAGGAAAGAAGGAAGGAAGGAAGGGAGGAAAGAAGGAAGGAAGGGAGGGAGGAAAGGAGGGGGAAGCAGGCAGGCAGGCAGGCTTACTATATCTGAAATGTGTCAGCTACAGAAAGCTGGACAAACCCATTACTAAGATGCCTTAACGATTAGCTGGCTTGCAACACCCTTTTTTTAAAAAAATAAAACAAAATCTATCAAATGCCAAACTACTCTCTCAGGAGAGACAGTCTTACAGGCATGTAAATGTCTCCCATTTACAGAGTTCGCTAAAGAGCCAGGACAAGTAATGTCATCTCCTTCATCATCATCTATCTGATGGGTGAAACCCTGGCCCCAGCATATTCCTTCACATTAAAAAAAATCCCATCAACAGATGAGGCCTTTTCGGCACGAAACTCTGTCCGGCTGCTCTTTGGGCGCGGGGACCATGGGAGGAGAGAGATCCAGCCACCTCAAGGAGGAAAGAAACGGTCTGCTGGGAAACAGGTGGAACAGGCCGCCTTGCCGCGGGTCGCTCAGGAGAAAGAAGAGCGGCCATCGCTTCCGGGGAGGAGGAACGGGCACCGTAAGGCAGCCAGTTCTTGGCAGCCTAAGCGATCATTATGGACGGTTTCTTACCTTGATAGTTTTGGACTGGAGTCTCAGGCCATTCAGCGTGTTTATTGCTCTTTCAGCGTCTTTCGCGGTCACGTAATTCACAAAACCATAACCCAAGCTGTGTCCTGTAGGGGGGAAAAAGTCTCTTTTAATTCTTTTCAGAGAGGAGAGAGAAAGGGGGGGGGGGAGAAACGACACACCGTTCCATCATTCTCTGAAATGAAAATTCCACATTTCAAAAGAAAATGGGTTTTATAAAGGAAAATATAGATACAAAGCATAAACGGCTGCCAAGACAGGAAAACAATGGTAGCTCGGGGGTTGCAATGAGGGCATCCTTGGTAGTCTCCGAGCTCGGTGGACTCCTCATAGATGGCTACATTTTCACCCTGGAGCCTGGGAGGTACCCAAACCTGCTGATAAGCTTCTCCTTACGAATCTGATATTTATTCCAAAAGCTTCTGCTTCTTCAGTGATCTCTTTAATGGGGGGTAAGGAAGGGGTTAAATCCACCAGTGCCCTAGGAATTGCAAAGGTGAAAAAAGCTCTTTCAAGACCCATCAAAGCTTTAGCGGGTCACAGTAAATCTGAATTCTGGTTCAGAAAAGTCCTTTCGCTTATAAGCGTGGCCTTCTTTTGAAAGTGACCGCAGAGGGTTAAAAGTGGGCTGCCATCCAGTAGCAGTCAGTGTGATTTAAAATACCAGGGGACTGGCACCACCATTCTTCTGGATCCTTTTTTAAAAAAATATCTCTGCCCGGTCAGATCCATTCTTCAACAAATGTGTCAGAAATCAGGAGGCGTGACATGTCATACGGAATGCCTTAACTTAAAGAAACCGTGTAGGGGTTTCTGCTGGGGGGGGGGGGTTGGGACTAGATGACCTACAAGGTCCTTTACCTGTAAAAAAAAAAACGTTCAGGCACATGCAGACAGTCAAGACACCAAGCTGACACCAGTTCATAGGTAAGGGAGACACATAATTAACTGCAAATAATTGTAATTTTGCGTCAAGAGGAACAAAAGTCTGTTTTTTTTTCCCTTAGCAAAAATAAATAAAATAAAATCGTTCTCCTGTCCTTTTGATGAGCAAGATTTCAGTACACCACTACCGATTGCCCTTGACTTACAATGGTTTGTTTAGCCACTGCTGGAAGTCGCAGGGACACTGAAAAAAGTGACCGACGACCATTTTTCACACTTACGACCATTCAGCATGCCCATGGTCATAGGATCAAAATTCAAACGCTTGGCAACTGACTCGTGTTTATGACGGTTGCAGTGTTCTGGGGTCACGTGATCCCCCTTTGCGACTTTCTGACCGGAAACCAGAATGACTGAACAACCACGCTACTACCCTGTTTCCCCGAAAATACGACCTACCCTGAAAGCAAGTCCAAGCTTGATTTTTACACGTGCGCCCAATATAAGCCCTACCCTCCAAAATAAGCCCTAATCAAAAAACCCACCCACTCCAGAGTGCATGGGTAAAAATTAAGGTAGGGTGGGGATTGGGGGAGTTGGAGCTGCCTTACTACTTACCTTTGGGCAGTTGTAGCCAGGCCTCGCACACCCCGACACCTACCTGGACGGCCCATTTCTTCTGCAGCTGGCAAGGCTGGCAAAGGCTTCCCTGAAGGCCTCTGGAGCTGAGAGCAAAGCTCCGGATCGATCCTGAGCTCTCTTATCGGCTGCAGAGGCCTCCAGGAAAGCCTTGCCAGCCACAGAAGTAGTAGTTCCTGAAGGCCTCTGACAGCCAAAAGGAGGCCGGGGGGGCAACCCGTGCAAGTGAGGTTAGTCAGTGGATGACATTCGCCCCAAAATAAGGCCTGGTGCTTTTTTGAGTGGCAAAAAAAATTGCAAGGCGCGGTCTTATTTCTGGGGAAACACGGTAACTTATCGGCAGTGATTCACTTAACAACAATGGCAAGAAAAGTACTAGAATAAGGGAAAATTTACTTAACAACCGTCTTGCTTAGCAGCAGAAATGTTGGGCTCAACCGTCGTCATACGGGTAGGGCTACCTGTATTCAAAGGGGAGTGTTTTACCTGCCACTTTGTCGCGAATCAGCTTGGCGGACTCCACCTCCCCTATGCTGCTAAAGAGACTCCGTAACTCGTCCTGGGTCATGTTCTGAGGAAGGTAGTTCACGATTAAATTTGTCCTGCCGATATCGTCCCTGCAGTCATCAGCCATGTGGTCTTCATAACCATTAGACATTTTAACGAGAGATGAAACCTGTCAAGAAGGCAAGCACATTGCTCGGTTCTGAGTGTTTATGCTGCGGACAGAGGCAAAAATGGAACGGAAAAGGGCGCCCCCTAAAACTGCCCATCCTGCACATGCATTATCATAACCCTTAAGACTTACGTATGGCTTCAATGTGCTTTTACCACCCTCTCTAAGCAGTTTACAAAGTCAGCGAATTGCCCCCAACAATCAGGGTCTTCCTTTTACCCAGGAAGGCTGAGTCAACCTGGAGCTGGTCAGGATCGAACTGAAGGAAGGCGGAATCAACCTGGAGTTGGTCAGGATCGACCAGCTCCAGGTCGACTCAGTGAGCAGTGAGTTAGCCTGCAATACTGCCTTCTGACCACTGCACCACCAGGGCCCGTCTTTCTTTCTTTCTTTCTTTCTTTCTTTCTTTCTTTCTTTCTTTCTTTCTTTCTTTCTTTCTTTCTTTCTTTCTTTCTTTCCTTCCTTCCCTTCCTTCCTTTCTTTCCTTCTTCCTTCCTTCCTTCCCTCCCTCCCGCCCGCCTGCCTGCCTCTGGGAGTTCACAGGTCTTATAGTTGCCAAGGTTGGACAACCTCTTCTCTAGACCAGGGGTGTCAAACTCACGGCCGGGGGGGCCAGATATGGCCCACAGGGCCACCCTGGAAACAGACCAGCTTGCAGTGCCTCTGCCAGCGAAAACAGAGCTCAGGAGGGCCACGCACCCACCCACCCCGCCAAGCTCTGTTTTCGCTGGCAGAGGGTTGCAGGCCATTGCAGCCAAAAACGGAGCTCGGGAGCCCGTTTTCATTGGCAGAGCGCTCAGGCCACCACAGGCACCCCCAGCACAAGTGATGTCATGCTGGCTACGCCCACTTTGGCCACACCCACCCCAGCCCAAGGTCAAACACAACCCTGATGCGCCCCTCAATGAAATCGAGTTTGACACCCCTGCTCTAGACAGTCAACCACAAATGCTCAGTCAACACAGCTCTGTCCTCAGTAGAATGGCCAGCCTACAACTAGTTGGATCTGGGTGTGCCAGCTGCACAAGAGCTTGCTCAAAAGCAGATCCTTCCTTCTTCCTCTGGGTACACTTGAATGACATCACAATTTAATGCAACACAAATGTACATCTATGGAGGATTTCCAGCGAAACGGCAAGCGGACGGCAAAGATTTTGAACTAGACCACAGAACCTGCCAATCACTGAACTGCTATTTTCTATTTTCTGACAAATACACACATTCCCAGGGAAGGAGTAAAACGATAGCGTTGAAGCAAGAACTTTCAGCAAGAATGTGTTCCAATTTATTCTGGAAATAATACCACGGTGGGAGTCATACCCTGCCCTTTCCATTCCGCACACGTACACTACGGAACCAATGCTAATTGACATAAATTTTCCCAGGGACAAAAGCTTGTTTCATGCCCAGTGGTGAGAAAAAAGGAAGTAAAATTCACGGGGGGGGGGGGGGGGGGGGGGGGGTCCGGAAAAAAAAAATGCGGAAGGGAAAGAGCAGAGGGGGACTCGCAGCGGGGGCGGCGGCCCGGGGG